AAGAGTCGCAGGTTCAATTTGGGTCAAGGGCACGTACCTCGATTGTGATTCATCCCCAGCCCTGGTCGGAGTCATGCCGTAGGCAACCAGTCCATGTGTCTCTCACGTCAATGTTTCTCTCTCTCTCATTCCCTCTCTCTCCCTCCCTTTCACTCTACCGAAAGATAAATGGAAAAATGTCCTCAAGCGAGGATTAAAAAAATAAAAAGAAACTTTAATATATATTTATCAGATCTAATTATTTATTATGTTAGTAACATCTTCTCCATTCAGACTTATTTTTTGTCTACTTAATCAGTCTACTCCTGGGAAAAGTGAAGCAGAGTCACCTATGAGTGCCTTTGTGAATATTTCCTTGTAGCCACCTACTTTCTGTTTATGAGAGCTCCTTCTGTGCTATTTGGAACTTACATATCTCAGATCATTATCAATTTCACACTTACATCAGAAAGTACCTTCTTTGTATTACTCAATTTTTGTTTTGAATTTTGATGTGCTTATACTAACACTGTGACCTCAGCTTCCTCTCTGTTTGCCTTCTTACGCTGCCTTTCCCCGTGGTGCTGTTTGTTCACTAAGGAGCAACCTTTCCTGAGTCACTTTGTTTTAGGTTTGTGTTCTGTATATGGCAAACAGCAGAGTTTTTCTTTCAAGCTAATCTAAAAATATTTATTTTTATTTTATTTTATAGATTAATTAAGCACATTTAGTTATTATGTAGCAAACAGGTTGTGTAAATTAGAGATTGTTGTTTTCTGTTAAATATGTTTTTTACATGAGTGTTTCTTTTGAAAAATCAGTGTGTCGTTTTTGTGGGTTTTTTTTTTTTTATCCTCACCCGAGGACATTTTTCCATTTTTTGTTCAGGTAGAGTGGGAGGGAGAGAGAGGAACAGAGAGAGAGAAACATCGATGTGAGTGGCTGCCACCCACACGACCAACCAGGGCCGGGGACAAACTGCAACCGAGGTACATGCCCTTAGCGGGAACCGAACCCGGGTCTCTCCAGACCACAGGCCGACGCTCTAACCACTGAGCCAAACCGGCCAGGGCTTGTGTTTTTTTTAAACTGAAGTTTTTTAGGTACTTAGGAAGGTATATGTTTTGGGACTGTCTTGATAATTTTATTTTCATATAATAGAATTAGTTCCCTCTTTTGAGAGGTGGTTTCTTATTAGTTTTCTACTATGAACATTATAAAACTAACTTATATCCTCTCTCTTCCTCTTCCATTTTATTTGTGCTTATCTCCGCACTCCTGAGCATGTTCTAATACAACTACTTGATTTATCCATTTTTAAGGAATAGCTTTTGACCCAGATATTACAGACAAGGCCACCAGCAAGCTTACTCATATTTCCAATCAATCTACAAGTATTGAGAAGTGTGTTTTTATTTGTCCATTTTTTCTTGTAATTCTGTCTACATTTTCTAACATATTTTGTGACTTTGTTGGTAGGCGCAGACTGTAACATTCTGGTGACTTCTTATCATGGTGCAATGAGCATCTTCGTCTCTGCAATTGCCTTTGCTCATATCTATAATATATATATATATTTTTAATTCTCACCCAAGAATATGCTCATTGATTTTACAGAGGAAGGGAGGGGGAAAGAGAGAGACATCGATCAGTTGCCTCTTGTACGCTTCCCAACTGGGATCAAACCCACAACCTGGGTATGTGCCCTGACCAGGAATCACACCAACAGCCTTTTAGTGTACGGACAACACTCCACCAATGGAGCCACCCAGCCGGGGCTAGACTATATTTTTAAATATCAACGTAACCAGACAAGCTGACTTCTGTTGTTGTTAGTTTTGTACATCATGTTGCATGTTTTGATTTTAACCTTTTCATGTCTTTAGGGTTTTGTTTTGTTTTTTTGTGATTCATGTGAAAAGCATATAACTGGATTTGGTGATAGTATTAATCCAACCTGAGAACTTCTTTAACTTCTAAATTTAAGCTATTTACATTTATTGGGATTACCAGCTTTTCTGGGTTCGTTTCCATTTCATATATTTTTATTTTTATTTGTTATGTTCTTTCTTTGCTTCTTTTTTTCTCCTTTCATGTTTTATATTAAATTAAAAATTTTCAGTGATTTCTAATGACCCCTACTGGCTTGGGGGTTTTAAATTCTATTAGTTAAGAGTTATCCCTACATTTTTAACATGACAACTTGGCAGCCACTGGCTGACAACTGAAGTTCATGGATGCGTCTACCTTCCTTCCAAACAAGACAAAGCTCTTAGAAGGCTTTTACTTTATCTTCCTCGTTCTCATGTTATTTGTGATTTTTCTGTCTTGTTCTTTAATGTAATCATCATTACTGCTAGCGATTTTTATACTTATAGTCATTTTTATTTCTCATTTAATTTAGCAATATTTTAGACAGGTGTGCTGCCACCTGTGTCTGTGTGTGCGTTTCTTGTCTCTGCTGCTTCATCTCAAGTACTCTTTCTGAGTCTTACTTAAGTGGTAGTAAAAGAAAAGCAAATGACAACTACAATATGGTGCAACTTCTTATCTATAAAACTGGCAAAATCTAAAAAGTTAAAACTCGTTGGTGAGAAACAGAACAATATCTGTCGATGTTAGTAACACACTTGGACTCCGCCACTCCCCCTCCAAGCTTTTATCCCAGCGAATTTCCTGCAAGGCATTGCTTATAATAACCACACCACCCATCAACAGCAGACAGGCTAGGAAAGATGGTACTTTTATCAAAAGACCATATACATCGTGGGGCAAAAGCAGGTTTACCGTTGTTCATATGTAAAATAATACAATAATTAATAATAATACAAGAATAAACTCTGTGTTTTGCATATTCACAACTGTAAATCTACTTTTTCCCATCCTGTATTTCTAAAGTTTAAAAAGACAAGTTCAGAACAAGGAATTTAGGGAGTTGCTATCTGTAAAACTGGGGAGCAAGCACACACACGCGCACACACACACACGTGGTTGCGTGCACACGCACTTCTCTGTAGGGACGGGCATGAAGCCCGAGCGTGGGCGGCCCAGCAGGAGCATCGGCAAACCAGGGGGAAGAACAGGCTTCCTCTGTGTACTTTTTGTGCCTTTTGAATTTTAAACCACATTAACTAATTACCTATTCAAGTACATTGTGTCTTTTTGAAAAGAATACGGGAGGGTGAGGACAGGACGGGCAGGCCCCTCTCTGGAAGAATTCTGTAAAGGTGGGCAGCCCCAGGCGGGTCAGTACCTGTTTCTAAATCTCCATCTCCTCATTCCTACAACTGAGGTTAGTAAGGCCTGCAAAGTAGAATTGTCTTGAAGATAAAATAAGAATATATATCAGGCACTCCGCATAGCAGTAGCACACAGGAAGGACTCAATAAATGATTATTGTTACTGAATTATTATAATTCAGGAGTCCTTAGAACTGTTGAAAACCCAGGATTTCCTAGAACCACTAGATGGCATTGGACTCAAATAACTGGGTGCTCCTTTCACCTGAGCACCGAAGCAGGGAGATGTTTGTTCCGCTTATTCCCAGCCCTTCCCCCACATCTGACAACCCAACTTCCTCCTCTCCGTTCCCCACGGCGTGGGAGGCTGCCCCCCCTGGCTGGGACACAGGGACTGGAAATTCGATGTTGGGCAGGACAGATGAGATGGGGGTTGTTTTGGGGTCCAAAGAAAAGAGAGTTTCCTAAGGTTCCCCTTTTCTATTCCTATCTTCCTTTTTAAAGAGTGAACCATGGCTGAGTGGGGAAGATTCTGAAGGTCAGCGACAAGAAGGGAACATCACATGGTGCTGAGGGGTAGGAGGCGTGAGTGGGAAGAACCGCAACTCGGGGACAAACAGAACTACGAATAGCTGTGGTGACCAGACCACACCCCTAGGGTTTGTCTGTCCAGGCTGACGACCCTGACTGACAGGGAACATTCTTCTGTGTCCCTGACATAAGGGTCACCTGGGAGTTTCCCTGAGATAACACATTCTGGGGACACCTTAAGGTCCTAGGTCTGCTGCACCATCCTGTACTCCCGGCCCAGCTCCTCCCCCACCCCCAGATCTACTGCTGAGGAGCTTGTGGCTTAGGGCCACTTTCCTTTCCGGTTTCAAGTAGCATGAGTCTACGTGTGCGGTTGTACTGAGGACATCACAGGATTTGAAAGGCCATCTTCTTCCCTGAGGGCTGTAGCTTCCATAAGGTTGGGAGACGCAGGAGCTGTAATCCCCGCTGCACACCTGCAGGGAGGATGTTTGGTGAGCAGGGGAGGACTCGGCAGTCCTGTCTCTCCAGAGGCACGTTCACCCTCGCGACACTGCAGACAGAGCTGGGGGGCCGCGGGCAGGAGCAGGACGGAGCAGGATGGAGCAGGATGGAGCAGGATGGAGCAGGACGGAGCAGGATGGAGCAGGATGCGCGAAGGCTTCTCTCCCATCTGCTGCCTGAGTTTCCAGGCAGAACAGGATCCCACAGCAGACGCTTTGGCTAGTTCACCGACTCACTGGAAAGTACCTGCTATTTCTGGGAATGTAAAAGCTACTGTTTCCTAGAATAGGAACCTTCAAAGGCAAGTCCCTCCCAGCAACCAGAAGTGTGTGCGGCTTTGCATTCTCATCGGTAGGTCCATGTACAGAGGATTGAGAATGGGGACAGTGGGAGAAAGAGACGTATTCATTTATCCAACAGACGTTCAGTGCTCTCTCCTGTGTCTCGAGCCCTGTGCCAGGCAGTGCTACAGAGCCAGTATGACATGTGGCCTAACGTGGACTCAGTCAGGGCTGATCCAGGCGCCAGCTCCACCACTGTGTAGGCCCGGGAAAGTGATTTCATCTCTTTGAGACTGTTTCCTCTACTACAGAATGGGGGTGATAATAACCAACCTCCTGGAGTGAGAATAAGGACTCAAAATGATAATACACGAAAAACACTTAGCATAGTTCTTACACTAAATGCTATAAACAGTAGCTGCTATCAAATTTTTATTAACACTGCCCCTCCATACCCTAGCTCCCCAAATATCAGACACTGGTGGAATGGGGAAGGATACAGAAAGGCAGCCTCAGGAACATTTATGTCCATTTGGCTAATATTTATCTCAAAGAACAGATAAAAGATTAATAGGCTAGCCAGCAAAATAGTAACCGTGGTTACCTCTGGGAAGTGAAACAAAGGTTAGACTTACTTCTCTGTATGAATGTGCGCTATTTATATGATAAGCAAAAATATTTTAAAATATATTTATTATGCACAGTACACTACTCAGCACCAGGCACCGCTCTGCTCATCAAGGGAGGAAGGTCCCTGGACACAGGCCGCAGCCCCCTCTCCGCAGACAGAGGCAGGCGAGGTGCAACCTCCGCCTGGAACCTCCGCCGGAACAGCCAACCCGCAGAGGCGGCCCCAGGGAGGCTCCAGGCGGAGCTGCCTGCGGTGAAGGCGGCCCTGAGGAGGGCGGGCCGGGCCTCAGTCCTCCAGCTGCTGCACCAGGCGGGAATAGAGGTCCTGCCCCTCCAGGAGCTGGGCTCGCTCCACCAGCTGTCCCTGCCTGAGCACCAGGACCTGGTCAGCGTCCCGAACCGTCTGCAGCCTGTGAGCGATCACCAGCACCGTGAGGTCCCCGCGGGATCGCCAGTCCTGCAGCTGAAGGTGAAGGGGAGGGTCGCAAGCCTCAGGAAGAGAAGGGGATGCACACCACACCCCCACCTGCCCGCCTCTTCCAGTTTCGGGTACAGGCAGGACAGGGGAGGAGAAAGGGCTGTGCCGCCTTCTCTCAGCGGCACCCTGGCAGCTAGGGGGGGGGGCAGGTATCTGGGGGGGGCTGTCTCCACACCACATCCTCCATTCCACCACCCCCCCGGGCCGCGAAGATGCAGATACTCTTTCCACTAGGGGGCCACTAACCCCCCACTGCCGGATTCTGCACAGCTGGTCCTTCGAACATGACAGGCCAAGTCCCACTGTCCCCTGGCCCCGCTCACCGCCTGCTCACACTGGACGTCCAGGGAACTGGTGGCTTCGTCCAGGATGAGGACACGTGGGTCCCGCACAAGGGCCCGGGCAATGGCCAGACGCTGTTTCTGCCCCACAGCCAACAGGTTCCCTTTCTCCCCTACATCTGAGGAAACGAGAAACACCCTTTTTCAGACACAAGTGACCACGACAACACCCTCCCACAAGCAGAGACAAGGGCACAGCCAGGAGGGCCCTGGGCAAGGCGGAGTGGGGTGTGCACCTGCCAGCTGCCCCCTGCGGCTCCTGGGGCCGGGGAGGGGCCGGGAGCCGAGGGAGGACGAGGGGACAGTGGACGCGGAGTCACAGGGACACCGCCCGAGAGTAAGCCCGTCTGTCTGGACGGAAGGCACCTGTAGACAGGCCGTGCTCCATGGCTTCTATGAACTCCTCCGCTCCGGCAGCCTGGGCCGCGGCCACCACCTTGTGCTCGCTGCAGCTCTCCAGCCCGTAGGTGATGTTGTACCTCACGGACCCCGAGAACAGCACAGGCTCCTGCCCAACCAAAGCCACCTGTGCAGGGGGGACAGGAGCAGAGGACGGTGTGGAAAGCCCCTCGGTGGGTCCTTCTTGCCTCCTCGCCCACCTCCCTCAGAACGGCCACTGAGTGTCTCCGCACAGATCTTCGGAGCTGTCTGCTGTCGCCCCCCCATCCCCTGCCCTTCCTCCTCCTCACACACCTGTCGGTGCAGGTAGCGGTGCTCATACTGGGAAAGGGGCTTCCCGTCCAGCAGCAGCTTCCCCCCGGTGGGCTGGTACAGATTCTGCAGCAGGGCAGCCACTGTGCTCTTCCCAGACCCATTGGGCCCCACCAGCGCTGTCACCTCACCAGGACGCAGGGTGAACGTCAGCCCCTGAAACGCCAGGAAAGAGTAAGGGCCTGTCTCTCCTCCCTCAGGGCCCCTTTCTCCCTCTGTGGAGGTGAGGTCAGCTTCTCAGAGCCAACGGATCTACAGGCTGAGGCCTGGCTGCACCGAAGTGGGGGACGGGTCCACTCAGGCACCTTGAGCACCGGCTGGTCGGGGCGGTTGGGGTACGCGAAGGAGACGTCCTGGAATTCCACCAGCCCCTGCAGACAGGGTGGCTCCAGGGTCCCCGCCGGGGGCAGGCTTGGCTGCCGGTCCAGGTAGCTGAAAACCTTCTCGGCTGCCCCCACGTTGCTCAGCATGTCCCCATACATGTACACCAGGGTCTGCAAGACACAGCAGGGTCCGCGAGTCACACCCAGCTCGCCAACTGCTCACGCCCCTGCCACCACCAGCCACGCTCCCTCATCCAGAGGAGCGCCTGTCTTTAAATGTGTGACTTGGATGGAATTTCAGCAGCACAAATACCCTCCTGTTCCAACTGCACTGTAAAGATGGAGCCATCCATCCCCTCCCCCACAGCGTGGCTCTGTCCCCGCCCTTCCCAGTTACTGTTCTGCTGCCAGCACAGGACTGTCCTGCTTAGAAGGGGCGCCCGGAGAGGCAGGCACGACAGCCCCGGGCACCTCCCGCAGTTCTCCACATACAAAAGATGTTTAACCAGTGTCTAGGGACATTATAAAATAAAGTCCAAGGTGAGGTAAATTGCTGAAACCCGGTAAATACATGGAAAGTGCCAAATGCTCATTCTGTCCTTTCTAGTCAGACTGCATGGCCAGGTGCCCGGTGGTCCACGAGGGGACGTCTGTCCAGCTAACAGGTGAAGGGAAGGGAGGACGTTGCTGTCTGCCACCCCAGGAAGCTCGTGGATCTAGGTACTGAGCACTCAGGCCGATGCCACCACAGATGCATCCGAGACAGGGCAACGTGATACATACACGTATCACACGTATGAGACAGTGCAAATGTGACCACTGACTGCCCGGGATGACTTTAGGAATCAGTGTGCATTTTACAGGTGTGGTAACGGCTTTGTGGTTATATGTTTAAGGTTTATATTTTAGAAATACAATGAAAATATTTACAGATAAAATTATGTCATGGATTTTCTTCAAAATAATGTGGGTGGGGCAAGAGGGTGAGGGTGCAGATGGAACGAGAATGGGCGTGAGTGTTGTTACGTGGTGATGGGTACATGCAGGTTCCGTACAGTGTGTCTTTTTGGGGGGACTGTTTTAAATTCTTCATAACACAGTGGGCTGGGATTTTGTCGTCTTGTATTTTTAAGGGCAACCAGTGAAGGCCAAGGCCCAGAGGCCAGAGAGAAAGACAGAGGAACAGAGAGCAGCGCAGCTCCGCCTCACCTGCACGTAGTGGCCCACGTCCTCCTGGAAGAGCAGGAAGGACAGCAGCCCGCCCCGAGTGAGGTCCCCGGCCAGGATCTGCTGCAGCCCACAGCTCAGCATCAGCACCTGCATCCCCAAGTGCAGCGTCTGGAAGGGAGAAGGCGGGGCTGAGAAGGACCCGGTCCCCCCCTCCCTGTCCCAACCACACTGAGTAGCGGGGATCCCAAAACTCCTAAAGGTTTCCCATGGCTTTCCCGGGCCCTTCCCCTCGCCACGCGGCCTTCTCGCCCTGCGGACCCTTCCCCTCGCCCCGCGGCCTTCTCGCCCTGCAGGCCCTTCCCCTCGCCCCGCGGCCTTCTCGCACTCCGGGCCCTTCCCCTCGCCCCGCGGCCTTCTCGCCCTGCGGACCCTTCCCCTCGCCACGCGGCCTTCTCGCCCTCCGGGCCCTTCCCCTCGCCCCGCGGCCTTCTCGCCCTCCGGACCCTTCCCCTCGCCCCGCAGCCTTCTCGCCCTGTGGACCCTTCCCCTCGCCACGCAGCCTTCTCGCCCTGTGGACCCTTCCCCTCGCCCCGCGGCCTTCTCGCCCTGCGGACCCTTCCCCTCGCCCCGCGGCCTTCTCGCCCTGCGGGCCCTTCCCCTCGCCACGCGGCCTTCTCGCCCTCCGGGCCCTTCCCCTCGCCCCGCGGCCTTCTCGCCCTCCGGACCCTTCCCCTCGCCACGCGGCCTTCTCGCCCTCCGGGCCCTTCCCCTCGCCACGCGGCCTTCTCGCCCTCCGGGCCCTTCCCCTCGCCCCGCGGCCTTCTCGCCCTGCGGACCCTTCCCCTCGCCCCGCGGCCTTCTCGCCCTCCGGGCCCTTCCCCTCGCCCCGCGGCCTTCTCGCCCTCCGGACCCTTCCCCTCGCCCCGCAGCCTTCTCGCCCTGTGGACCCTTCCCCTCGCCCCGCGGCCTTCTCGCCCTGCGGACCCTTCCCCTCGCCCCGCGGCCTTCTCGCCCTGCGGGCCCTTCCCCTCGCCCCGCGGCCTTCTCGCCCTGCGGACCCTTCCCCTCGCCCCGCGGCCTTCTCGCCCTGCGGACCCTTCCCCTCGCCGCGCGGCCCTCTCGTCCTCCGGGCCCTTCCCCTCACCACGCGGCCTTCTCGCCCTGCGGGCCCTTCCCCTCGCCGCGCGGCCCTCTCGTCCTCCGGGCCCTTCCCCTCGCCACGCGGCCTTCTCGCCCTGCGGACCCTTCCCCTCGCCCCGCGGCCTTCTCGCCCTGCGGGCCCTTCCCCTCGCCCCGCGGCCTTCTCGCCCTGCGGACCCTTCCCCTCGCCACGCGGCCTTCTCGCCCTGCGGGCCCTTCCCCTCGCCCCGCGGCCTTCTCGCCCTGCGGACCCTTCCCCTCGCCCCGCGGCCTTCTCGCCCTGCGGACCCTTCCCCTCGCCCCGCGGCCTTCTCGCCCTCCGGGCCCTTCCCCTCGCCCCGCGGCCTTCTCGCCCTCCGGACCCTTCCCCTCGCCCCGCAGCCTTCTCGCCCTGTGGACCCTTCCCCTCGCCACGCGGCCTTCTCGCCCTGCGGGCCCTTCCCCTCGCCACGCGGCCTTCTCGCCCTCCGGGCCCTTCCCCTCGCCCCGCGGCCTTCTCGCCCTGCGGACCCTTCCCCTCGCCCCGCGGCCTTCTCGCCCTGCAGACCCTTCCCCTCGCCACGCGGCCTTCTCGCCCTGCGGGCCCTTCCCCTCGCCACGCGGCCTTCTCGCCCTGCGGACCCTTCCCCTCGCCCCGCGGCCTTCTCGCCCTGCGGACCCTTCCCCTCGCCACGCGGCCTTCTCACCCTCCGGGCCCTTCCCCTTGCCCTGCAGCCTTCTCACCCTCCGGAAGAGCAGGTAGAGAGCCCGTTCCAGGTCTCGTCGCCACCACAGCTTCCGGCACCGTTCAAGGGCCTCCTCGTAGCGAAGGGCCTCTTGCTCCTCAGCCCCAAAGCTGCGCACGGTCTGCAGCCCTCCGACTGCCTCCCGCACCACCTGCCCGGCCTGCGCCACCGCGTCCTGGATCTCCAGCAGCACCGCCTGGAGGGAGGCAGGGCACGGTCCACTGGGCCGAAGACGGCAGACCCCTCCCTTTCCAGCCCTGGATGCTCCCCAGTCTACCAGGGAGCAACTGTCATCTTTCCCGCTCCTTACGCTCATTTCCAGAAGGAGGAAGAGAAGGAACAAATGATCATGAGCTCTCGGTGCCAGTTAACGTGAGAGAAACACTCTTTTCTTCCCTTCACTTATGCTCATCCCCACCACCCCGTGTCTGAACAAGAGGGAAGGGGTCGTTTCCCAAGGAGTCACAGCTCTTTAAGAGGGGATGTGACTTACAATGGATCAAAGACCTAAACCTCAGCGCCAAGACGATAGAACTCTTAGAGAAAACACAGAGGGGAAGCTTCAGGACGCGCAATTTAGCAGTGGCTTCTTGGATATGACACCAAAAGCGCAGGTAACAGAATAAAAATAGATAAACTGGACTTCAGCAAATTAAAAACGTGTGTGCCCCAAAGGACTGCATCAATAGAATGCAAAGGAAACCCACAGAATGGGAGAGAACATTTGCTCATCTCTGATACAGGGAGTGGACACAGGACATACAGAGAACTCCTACAGCTCGACAATTTAAAAACAACCCAATTTAAAAACTTTAATAGACATCTCTCCAAAAAATATATTTAAAAAATCACCAATAAGCACATGAAAAGATGCTCAACATCACTAATCACAGGGAAATGTAATTAAAACCATAATGAGCTACTGCCTCACAATCATTAGGATGGTTATTATTTTTAAGATGATAGATAGATAGATAAGACGATAGATAGAAGATAGTAGATAGTAGATAGATAGATAGATAATAGATAGATAGATGATAGATAGATAGAACATAGATATCGATATATGAATATTATTTAGCCATTAAAAAAGGCAACCCTGCCTTTTAAGACAACATGGACCTTGATGGCATTATGCTAAGTGAGATAAGTCAGATCAAGAAAAAAACTGTATGAGTTCAGTTATAAGTAGAATCTAAAAATAAAGCCACCAAATTCAAAGGAAAAGAGATCAGATCTGTGGTTACCAGAGGTGGGTGTGGAGGGCAGGAAAATTGGATGAAGGCGGTCAAAAGGTACAAGCTTCCAGTTATAAGATAAATAACACAGAAGATAACAAGTGTCGGAGACGGATGTGGAGAAAGTGAACCCCCGTCATTGCTGGCGGGGATGTGAAATGGTGCAGCCACTGTGGAAAGCAGCCCGGGGGCTCGTCAAACATTAACAATAAAGTCACACAATCTAGCTATCCTACTTCTGGATATATGCCCAAAATACCTGAAAGCAGGGGTGCAAACAGATACGTGTACTTTATGTGCATAGCAACAGTATTCGCAATAGCCAAGAGGTGGAAGCAACCCAGTGTCCTTCGACAGATGACTGGATAAGCAAAATATGCTGACTGCTTTGATGGAATATTATTCAGCCTTAAAAAGGAGAAAACTTCTGACCTGTGCTACCACATGGATGAACCCTGAGAACACAAATGAAATACGCCAGTCACAAAAAGACAACTACTTTCATAGACAGAGAGTAGCATGGTGGTTGCCAGGGGCTGGGGGAGGGGAGGAATGGAGAGCTACTGTGCAAAGGGAGCAGAGTTTCAGTTTGAGAAGATGAAGAGTTCCGTAGGCAGATGGTGGTGCAGGTTGTGAGACAGGCCACTAAGCCAGGACAAGTGGAACAGGGAAACTGAGACAATTTACAGCAGATACAGAAGGTCCCCTCCCTATAGATAACATGGAGGCCTCAGCTGTATTTCAGCTCCAGGCCCAGAAAGACAACAAAACCAGGTGGGTGATGCCAAGACCAGCTGCAGTGACTAGCAGCCCCTCTCTGACAGACCAATCAGTGGAGACCACGACCCTGAAGGACACACCGAGAGAACTGATGAATATTCTGCTGAAACCTCCCCTGAGACCTCCACTAAGATTCCTGCCTGCAAGAGAGATAAAACCTCAAGACAGGACCCAGCCCATGCTCTCCCTCTGGGGAGCAGCCCCACCCCCTTCCCTTCCCCTCTTCTTCCCCCTCTTCTTCCCCCAAAGGCACCCGTCTCCTAAATTCTAAAGACTTGCAACCAGGGAGCAGTGGGCGCGGCAGCTGGTCCCAGGCTAATCCCCTGACCCTGTCCCCAAGGCCCTTTCTCCTCTGACTTCCTGGAGCGCTAAGGCAGCCCAGCCGGGCTCTCCTGTTGCTTCTATGCTAAGCCCTCTCGTTTCACTGTCCCAGCTTTAATAAACCTTCCCTCATAGTCACCTGGATTCATGTTGTGAAACTTTCCCTGCATGAAGTCAAGAACCCACACAGTCCCGGTGGGCCCTAGGTGTCCCGCTCAGGGTCAGGTTCCCTTTCCGGTAACAGTCGTGCAACACTGTGAATATCTTTAATGCCACTGAAATGGCACATTTAAAACTGGTTTAAAATGGTAAATTTTTGCATTATAACTATTTTACCACATTTGTTTTTTAAAGACAGAGAAGGTGGAGCTAACATTCAGACTCAGGTCTTCCTGACTACACGTTCTACTTTCTCTACACTCCTGCTGATTCCAAAGGGGGAACTCGACCTAAAGCCCTCTCGGACGGCATTTTTAATCTTTTGTGAGCAAGGTGTGTGCAGACTCCTTTGAGAATCTGATGACATCCTCTCTGCAGAAAAATGTGCCCACCCTCCCTCCTTCTCTCTCTCTCTCTCTCTCTCTCTCTCTCTCTCACACACACACACACACACACACACACACACAGCTGCATATAGTCCCATGGGTCATGGACCTTCCGAAGCCTGTCGGAACTGCTGCTCTAAGGGCTGCCAAGAGAAGGCCTCTAGGACTGATTCTTCCCTGGGGATGCCCAACAGCCACACATACCTGGTGGCGGACACTGTACACCTTTTCGGCCGCTATTGTGAGAGGCACCTCGAGCAGGGACAGGAAGGTGAGTCGAGGCGATAGGTTGAGCATGAAGCTGTACAGCCCCACCACCTTCACCAGGTTCCGCAGGAGCACGTTGGCATTGAAAGGAAGCCAGGAACTCATCAGTTTGGTGTCTGAGTTCAACCTCGAATTCAGCTCCCCTGGGCAGAACAGAGCAGATGAGGAAGTCGTATGCAATGTAGACCCCAGAAACTCCCTCCTGACTTCCCCTCTGACACAGCCCCTCCTCTGAGCTGCCTCCTTCACTTGCAGAAAGCCAGGTGCAGGCCAGGGGACAGGCTGTGTGCAGGTGGAGGGAACCCCACACCTGGACTCCAGGCCTCACCTGTCTTAGTCTCCTGGAAGAAGCCGAGGTCCTGGCGCAGAAGGGAGGAGAAGAGCTGTTCCCGGATCCGCAGGTTGATTCTGGACATGGTGAGGACGAAGCAGCCTCCCCGGCAGCCTGCGGACAGCGAGCTTGGGAGGAGACCGGAGGATGAAGGACAGAGACAGAGGGAGGGAATGAGTGAGGGAAACAAAGAAGTAAGTACAGAATAAGAAAAAATGCACAGTTGGGGAAGTATACCGTGAGAGGCAGGAGAGAAACAAGAGAGGGACAGTGGCAAGAGGGGCAGAAATAAACAGAGGAGGAAGTGGGGGGATCGTGAGCTATACGAGAACAGAACCCTAGCCAGTATTTATGGAGTCACTCTGTGCTAGACACAAGGGAGGAATACAATAGAAGTGAAAAGATATCATAAATAGAAATAGGCTGTGGCTGACCCAGCCTCTCTAGAGATATCCCTCCAGGCTTCCCCTGGGTCTTGGTCTCTTTTGTCCCCATCCCTAAAGTCCTTCCAGTCCCGGATACTTGGCTACGGGACCACAGCAATGAACTCCTTGCCTTCCCACGCTCCGGAGCCCCAATCATGTTCCCTGGAGCTGGACAACTCCTCTTAGACAAACCAGCTTTTTACAATAAAACATGAAGGAAAAATGTGAAAGCACGGAAGTGGGTATTTTACAAAGTATGGGTTTCTCGTTCAAATCTAGTTACCATGTTTAGAAGGCTGTTGGGATATGGACGAGCATAAAGAACTGAGGGTTTGGACTTTGGTGGTCACAGCAAGAACGAAGAGGAAGGAGTCACAGGAGACACGCTGTGAAAGTGGAAAGTGACAGGGCTAGTTTTGAACATGAGAAAGTCATCAGCGATGCTGCTGCCTGGAGCCCAGGGTGCTGATGGTTTCATGAGGGGGAATAGGAAGGGGGAGGCGCTTTCAAGAACACCAGGAAGGAGTGTGGCGTATCTGAGCTCCGGGGTGTGGAGTGTGGGGTGACAGCGGGATAGCCGATGGGGGTGCCAGGAAGCCGCGGAGCACAACACTAGAGCTGGAAATATGGATCTTGGAGTCACCTACGGAGATGAACTGAGTTAGTTGAACAGGGAAAATGTTCTTAAAGATCAAGAATTGAGTCATGAGAAGAGTCCCCATTGGAGGGTCCAGAGGAGGAAAATCTCCGGAGTAGGGAGAGCAAGTTGGGAGGTGAAGAGGGAGCTCATAAACACTAACTCGAGAAAGAGATCCGTAACCAGAGATTATTCTAATGCCAAATACCATAGAGAAGCAAAGAAAATTGAGGACCATTTTTTTTTTTAGTTTGACTTTTTAAAAAAACTTTTAAGAAACTGGTTTTAGCACCAAGTAGCAAGACTGGAATGAAACCTAATGAAGGAGCAGGTTCTGAGGCATTCTGAGCGAAGTATGACCATTACAGGACCGCCACCAGGCACTAGGGAGAGGAGAGTCAGGTGGTCTCGACCCCGAGAGTGGGCAGCTCCTCAAACTTCGCACCCTCGGTGCCTCACTCACCTCACCCTAGTCCCAGCCCCAGTTAGTTAGTTAGTTAGTTAGTTGACAGCTGATTCCTGGGTATGTCTAAAAGGAGATGGAAAAGTTAATGAGGTGGAAAAGAGTAAGGATGCTAGAAAGATAAGGGGCAGGGTAAGATCAGAGATGAGCTGGGTGGGGGTCAGAGGGAGAAACATGCCCACCCTGGCAAGAGTATAACTTTGGAAACAAACTTCAGGTGGGAGGGAGACAGCAAAGAAGAAATGGAATGTCATGGAGATTAAAATGCCGAGTCCACTGAGTGCTCTTTGAACCACAGGCACTGTGATAAAAGACGGTGAACAAAAATGACCAATGAAGGGATGAATGGATGAATGGACACATGAAATAGAAGGGTGAATAGATAAATAGATGCATGTTTTAGTTTAAGTATTTTGTGCACAAAAGTATCTGTAAACAGAGTTCGGAATGTGAGGGGCCCTGTAAAGATTTGGGGCTTAGCAAATGGACCCAATGGCCATCACCTACCTCCCAACGGAGAAGAGACACATGAAAAAGATGGCGCTGGCGAAGGCTTCAGGGTCAAAATCTCCTCCCAGAATGTCAATCACGCGACCAGAATAGTAAGGGATTAATGTCTCACCTGAAAGATCAGGATGACACAGGACTGTGCTCGCGCCAGGGCCTTCCCCACCTCCCATCCCCACCTCCCATCCCCAACGCCTCTGGCTCACCCAGCACGGCGACCGCTAGGAAGAAGAAGGCAGCGATGAGGAAGGGCAGGTCAGGCCTGGAGAGCCTCAGCAGCCGCCACATCAAGGCTCTGCTGTTCTTCTGGCCCTGCTCCTTCTCCTGGGCGCCTGGGGGGCTCAGCACGGCCCACACAGCCCCGCTGAGCGCTGCAGCCCCGTACCCCACCAGCAGCCAGCTCCAAGGGGCTGAAGCCACTCGGGCTGGCGGGGCACTCAAGGCCCCGGAGATCAGGGCCCTCAGGGAAAGGAACAGCGGGGTCACCAGGCAGAGCGGGGGCAGCAGTGTTCCCACAAGTCTCAGCAGTCCCCCCAGCTTCAGCAGCCACCATAGCCCTCCAAGTCGCAGGGTCCCCTCCAGCCACAGGCCGGGAAGCCCTCGGGGTAGCAGGGCCCCCAGGGTCCCCTGAAGCAGCCAGAGCAAAGCCAAGTCCGCCAGCAGCAGGGAGGCCCAGGGTCTCAGGTCAGGGAGCCGCATGGTGTGGCTGCGGGATGGAGGGTGAGAAATTAGAGACGTGGAGTCCCAATCCGGGTCCCTACCCTCCGCACCCCCACTCCGCCGACCGTCCCTAGGCTCCTCGCTGTACCCAACCCTCTCCTGAAAGCTCCCCGGGGCGCCCGAGCTCATCAGTACGTCCCTCCCCGACAGAAGGCGCTGCCAGTCGGAGGGAGCTGGGGAGCCTGGCCTTCGGGTACCCTCATCCTTTAAAAAAAAAAAAAATCCCCTGAGCCACCCCCCTCACCCCGCCCCCGCCCCCAGCCTCGGCGGATCCCACCCCCCACCCCAACCACCGCATCCCCAGGTCCCAGGGGGACAGGAAGCAGGGACGCGGGGTGCTGGAGGGGTGGGGTGCGGCTCTGGTAGCGCTCAGGAGGCCACCGCGCGGACTCACCGGCGGCCTCGGGACTGCAGCTCCGAGGTCTCCGGCGCGGTGCTGAGGACGGAGCTGCGAACCCGCTCCCGCAGCTCGGCCTCCCCTCCTCGGCCCGCCCCGCCCTCCGCGCTCCCCAGCCGGGGCGTCCCCGCGCGGCTGCTTTCGCTTTCACTTCGCGCGGGGCCCTGGCTCTGGGCCGCCCGGCCAGCAGGGGGCGCGCGCACCGCACAGCGCCGGGCCCAGCCCCGGCCCGCACCTGCCCCGCACCCCCAGGCTCTCGCCCTCAGCTCCTGTTACTCTAATAGGAAACGACTGCGATTTGTAAAAATTGTCACTAAGTAAAATAAGGCTGTTTCAAGGGTTGGAATGCTTTGTATCTGGAGAACCACTAGGTTGCCTACCTCAAGGTTTTACCACCTCAAGCTCTGAACCTATTCTGAGAGGTGCCCTCTTCCCTCCCCAAGTTTCAGTTTGAATGTCCTGGGGTAAAAGCCAAGGTCTGAGCGAGAAACACACAGGGTCCCCTAAACGGAAGTCAGCAGCCACTCTCACCGGGGCCTACGTGGGTTTCCACTTACAGATTCTGAGCTGAAAGGCCCTGACCCTTTACTTGCAGCACCTTGAGCAGACCACGTGTTCAGAGCCCCTAAGCGTGCGTCCGGACCGCGTCGGAGCACCTTCCCTGGTGAGCCGGCCGCTTGCTCTCTGGGTTTCGCACTGAAGAGAGCAGTGAGCAGGGTGCTCTGGGTCCCGCCTGACCCTGAGCCTATCCATGGAACATGCACATTGGCTGATTCCAGAAATGGCTCTTCAGTTTAAACTACCTCCCAAACTCGAAATATCCTCAACGAGGTGGACAATGGGACTCTGAATCACCCTTCTGAAACGTTATTAGTATGGCCACCAATGAGTCGCTTCAAATAGAAAGTAATGGGGGAGGGGAGAAATTTAAAGTGGCGGATTACTGAAAGTTCTCGAATCCTGTCCATTCTAGGACTTTAAGGATCTCTCCCTAATGAAAAAAGTTTCATGCTCAGCTATGTCCTACTTTCAAGTTTTTCCTTTAACTCTCCTTTGAGAGGTGACATCGTCCATATTCCTTCCTGCAGCTCCAGTGTAAGCCAGAAAACCTCAATGTCTGTCTCATTTTTTTAACCTCTTACTTTTTCCTCATAGGCCCCCCTTGAGGGCGCCCTCCTTAAGTCTTCCTCTTCAGTCATGGCCCTGTTATCTTGCGATTGAGCCTGACACATCATGAAACTGAACCCCTAACGTCCATCTTTACATTCACTATCCAGTATCTCCCAGGTGCTATTTCAGGTCAGGGTGCTGTTTACCACACACGTTGGAGGTGGAGGCTTTCTCACCTGACTCCGAATTCAAAAGCAGTTGTTCTAGGCGCCCTAACCTAAATTCACTTGCAAATAAGCATCCACAGATAACAGTGATCTGGCTTCCTGAGGTCCCGGAGATGAGTGTGGAAGGAACACCCAGGAGAACTATTTGGTGAGGCCCATTTCTTAGGTGGGGGTTTGAGTTTGTCTTCTCAGGAAAAGCTTTTCTTTATTTCCTGTCCCCTCCTCCACCCTCCACAGCCCCAAGCTCACTCAGGCGCACACACAGACTTCTATAACCGTTTCCTTTATTGTACTGAGTGGGGTACCCAGATGGCTGAGTGGGGTGAATGCCCCTTAAAATAGAGAACACACAAAGGATGAACCTGCCCCAATGCCCCTGACCACTGGTTCCCTATCTCTGGGCTTAGGTTAAGACCCTCTTTGTCCTGGAGGGTAGGCTGGCTCAGGTCCCAGAGTCGCTGGGCTTTCCCAGAGAAGACCTGCCCAGCCGCCACCACTGTTACTAATTGGCCTCCCAGTACTGGTGCATCAGGTCACTGACGTCTGTACTCTCCACCTTTACCCAACCATCTTCCTTCATGTGGTACACTGTGGGCAAATGAGAGAGAACATGGAGTCACCTTTCACTTCAGAAGTTCCTGTTAATGATGTGGTGTTGAAGGCAGTGACAATATAGCCCTTGTTACTGGGACTTCAGTGCCCCTCTTCTGACTCTGAAAACCTCCTCCCTGCCACCCTGCATCCCCCAGTCTCCCAATGTCAAATACCCCTTCCCCACCCAGGGCTCGCTGGTGGGAGCATTGGTCTCTTACTATTGACAACACCTCCAGAATAGCTGTCTCGGTGGGTGGCATGAACAATAGCCCTGCGGCCCAGGTCATAGGCCTCTTCAAGGCTAAGATCAGGCCGGTAGCCACTATCCATGACCCCGTAGGCATAGGTGTTCCCACTACCAGTGGAGAACATACTTCCTGAGAGCCGAGTCCCATGTTCATCCACATAGTAGAGTCCAGGACCCTAATGGATGAAAGAAGGGTCTAAGTTGGAAATGGAGAGGGAGTTGTTGGTCACACACAGTTTGAAGTTTGAGCCATAAAAGGTGGGTAAAAGAATAAGAATTTAGCACAGGAATGTTTGAGCTAGGACAGTGCTTTAGTAACAAGCATAGAACTTTGGAAGGGGGAAGAACAAGCTGGAAATCAGCTATTTTATCAAAAGGGACACGTTTATAAAACAATGGTCCACATCTGGACCCAGAAATGGCCATGGATATGCAGGGCAATAGCCCTATAACTGAGGACTCTATGTGCCAGGTATCTTGTAGGGGAGGGAGTGGGAGTGTACAATGGGGAACTGATCTCTTGTCAACAGTGAGGGAGACATGGAGAATGAGAGCACCCACCTTCTTGTCCCAGCCACAGATCATGCTGCCCATGGAGAGGCCCATGCCCCGGTATTGGCACATCATGTTGGAGAGCAGTTTGGAGGCTGCTGACACCGAGATCCGCTCCCCATTCCGCAGATAGTACAGTCTAGGTGAGGACGGGGAGGTAGGGGACAAAGCTCAGGGGTGGCAGAAGGCTAGCTCTCTGATGGGCAAGAAGTGATTGCAGAGTATAAGCATTTGAAGGGAATAGTTTTGTAGGATCTAAGGATCGGGGAGATACTTGAAATGTAAAGTATCTAAGCCACATTTAAAGATCCCAGCAATGATACTACCCCATCAGCATTGACGGTGTCAGTGTTAAATAACTGACAAATTATTGTATTGACAGGAACACAAAGTGAGATTTGGGGGAAGGTTATCACCAAAAGGCTATTTTGTGAAACACTACATTAGCACTAAAATGTTACATTAGCACAGGGGGCAGGGTGATGAGCAGTAATCTGGAGGATCCAGGATCCAGGATTGACCAGTAGTCTTAGAAGGGAGATGCGTGGCCTCGCCTACCTGCACTCCTTGGCCAACAGCCGCTCCCAGTACTGACAGTCCGCTGCACAGCCAGACATGGTGCCAAGCAGGTAAGGGTTGATCTCAATCACCTTGTTTACCCTTAAGGTGGCTGGAAAAAGATGGAGCTTTTTGTTTTGTTTTTGTTTTGGCTTTTTTTTTTTTATCTTCTATTTGAAGGTATTTATTTATCTTCAAATAGAGCGGGAGGAATAGAGGGAGGGAGAGAGAGAGAGAGAAACATCGCTGTGAGAGACACATCGATGGTTGCCACCCACAGGACCCCAACCAAGGCTGAGGACAAACTGCGATCAAGGTACATGCCCTTAGGGGAAAAGGAACCCAGGACTCTCTGGTCCCTGGGCCAACACTCTAACCACTGAGCCAAACCGGCCAGGGCGAAGATGTAGTTTTAAGAGAAGAGGAATGGCCCTGGCCAGTTTGGTTCAGCGGTTGGAGCATCGGCCTGCAGTTCAGAGAGACCCGGGTTCGGTTCCTAAGGGCACGTAAGTACCTCGGTTGCAGTTGGTCCCCAGCCCAGGTTGGGTCATGCGGGTGGCAGCCACTCGATGTGTCCCTTTCACATCGATGTTTCTCTCTCTCTCTCTCTCTCATCCTCTCTCTCCCTCCCACTCTATCTGAACAAAAAAATGGAAAAAAATGTCCTCCAGTGAGGATTAAAAAAAAGAGAGAGAGAGAGAAGAGGAATGACCCCAAAGCTCTCCCTGTGTGTACTAAGTCACATCAGCTTCATTTTGGTGCCGGGGTTGGGCTCCTGCTGAGAAGGGGCGGGGCTTCCTAGAGCTGGCCTGCTGCAACAGGACACTCACCAATGTAATTCCCAGCTGAGGCCCGGGAATCCACCGCCACAATCACTCCGTGCTGGAATTTGAAGGCGAGGGTGGTAGTGCCATGGGCCATCTCAATCTGAACTTTGCTTTCTCTGTTCTCACCCAGGGACCGGAGGAATTCAGTGGGCTAGGCAGAGAATGAGGCAATGAGAACTTCTGATGCAGGAGGCTCTGGGAAAGGATTTTAGAGAGTATTCCAGAGGAGATACACGGAGATTCTCTAACTATGAATAAATGGAATAGTTAACAACCCGTCTCTACAAAGAAATGGCCCAGAAGAGGGAAAAGAGGAGGCACCCGACAGCCTTTTCCATTTTTCAACGCAACAGAAAATTAAAAATAATAAATGCTACCACAACTAAAAATTTTAAGGGTGATTTTCATTTTTTTTTTTCATTAATAGGTCATTTAACCCTCACAAAACACGTTTGTTACTAATATCCCCATTTTCCGGAAGAGGCCCAAATCTAGTCTAAGTGACTTGACCCAAGACACAACAGTGAGCGGCTGAGACGAGACTAACTAGGCAAGTTGGTAGGTTTTCCAAGACACTGCACAGCCCCGCTCAGACGCCGTCTGGGGAGAAAGGCTTCGTGTTTTGCGTGTGATGGAGAACAGGCAGGGAAGCGCTCTTGTCTTCCTATGGGCGCCCCCACCTCACCTCTATTTGTCCTAATCTGCACTTCCTAACCCTCAGACAGTCAGACGCGATTCCCACGTGGCCTCTCCCCGGGCTCGCCCGGACCTGGCTCTCCACGGCTCAGTGATGGCCCCCCTCCGCGTTTCCCCGCCTGTGGGCTGTCTCCAGGCAGACCCTTGGTTCCTCTGCGCCCTCCTCCCGCCTCCCCCGGGATTCTCTTCGCCCTGACCTGCATTCCCCGGGGGAGGGCGAGCTCCGGAGATCGCATTGAGAAACTGTAGTGTCCCGGGTCCGAGCAATGCCGGCTTCCCGAAAGGGGGAAAGCCCAGTCCTCCGGCTGCCCTCGGGGGGCTCCGCACACCTCCAGCAGCGCCATGATCGCCCAGCACCCGGAGATCTGTCCGCTCTCGCAGAAGGAAGTGAAAGCGAAAGCCCGCAGCCTTAAGGGGAGGGAACCAGAATTTGTTCCACATCCCCCTGCCCTTTCCGAGAAGCCAGCGGTGCCTGGGGGCCAGGTACACCACACTGGAGACAGGCTTCCCTGCTCCACCTTCAGGGAGGCTGGGAGCAATGGGTGATAGGCTGTCAGAGGAAAGGAAGAACGAGATGGGGCGGCTTCGAAAGCCCCCTTGGCGATGAGATTTCTGAGACGCCAACAAGTCGGGGCATCCTCTGGGGACATTCGCGGAGTGGGTAGGAGTCTTATCGGGTAAAGGCGTAGCCTCCACCAGAGAGCTGGGGTCCCGAGGGGCTGGGAGCAGTTTCACGTCGGGGTGGGGGAAGGGTGTTAATATGCGCATCACTTTATAAAAGTGGGGGAGGTATGGGAGTAGGTGGGGGCACTGAATCTTGAAGACAGGTTTTGAGGCACCCGAATACACCCGCAGTGTGTGGGGCCAGGGGGCGCCAAGGAGAGGGCGCAGTCGCTGACTCTTTCCACGTGGCCTTCATAGGGCCTCTCCCGGTTCAATGGTCTTCAAACCCTGTAGCACCCACAGGAACTGCCCTTTCTACCCCGCCTCGCGTACTTTTCTCTCCACTGAGCGAGGCTGAGTTTATCTCCTCTAAACCCCGCCTCTCTTTGCAACCTGTGTTGGTCTAATCTGCATAGCAACTGCGAACGTCACACCATAGCCCTCTCTGATTGGGAGAGATTTACCGGACAACCCGGACCACTAGCTGACATTTCCCAAACTAGTGCCGCCTGGGGCGCGGGCGGAGCCCCACGGGCCAGGGCCTGCGCGGAGGTGGTGAAGGGAGCGGTCCTCGGCTCCGGCACTTGCGCTCCTGGTAGCGCGCTCGCCCTCCATCGCCCACCTCAGAAAGGTCCCTGCTCCGAGCGGGGCTGCCCACGCCTTGGAGCGCGCTTGTCCCAGCCTGGCCCATCCTTGGGGCGGGCGTGGGGGACGGGGAGGTGGGGCAGCCAGGGAGAAGGGACCCTTCAGGGGAAGGACGGCGGGTTAGGGCTGTGAAACACGAGGTTGCTGAAGGAGAGAAGACACCCGGCTCCTGCAAAGTGTGCTGCAAAAGTCGGCGAGCCACTTGGTGCACTGAAAACGCGAGCAACCGTAGTACAAAACACCCATTTTATTATAAATAACCAGAATCCACAAGGTGTTTGTGGGTCAGCATAAATACAGCCGATCTTGCCTTTCTGTATATTCTAAATATTTCTCATTTTCAGAATGCGATCCACACCAACCCTGGCTGTAAGCCCAGTTACACCAAAGGTATAAACCAGGTTTTCCAGGAAATCTGCATTTTTCGAGAGGAGCTTGGAGAGGGGGTAACACGCATTGGCAGGATTTCAAGTATCACCTAGGGGGTTACACTTTAGGATGACACTCCTGACTAGTCTGCAGCTCTGGTAAGCTCTTTGTTCCCAAATTCTCCACTATAGAAAGGGAAAAAGGGGGGATTCGATGAGAGGTCTCATTCCGGAGCAGCCACGCCGCCAGGAACCTGCACCATGGTCCAGTAGCGCCCCCTCTGTCTCATGAGCTGCTGGTGGTTTCCCTCCTCACAGATGGTGCCTCCCTCCATAAAGAGGATGTGGTCAGCCCGCTCCACCAAGCTGAGGTGCTGGGTGATGAGAAGCACAGACCGACAGCCCCGCTCAGGGCTCTCATACAGGAGCTGTTCCACCTGAAGAAAGACGGGCTCTGTCAGAGCTGGGGACCCCTCCCATCCCAAGGAGACATCTGTGTTTCCAGAGCTGGACAGACCTGGCCATGGTCAACGCCACTCGTGTGCTTCTCTCTAAAACCGTTGATTCACTAAGGACTGAGGGAGCAATGGAGGAATAAAAACCAAATTCTTATGGTGAAACCAATAAGAAAAGAGGGAAGGATACTAAATAGTCTCTCCACCTATGGACTAAGAATTTTTATATTCTGTTTTAAAGAAGTATAACTTAGGGGTAAAGACATGAGCATTCAAGTCAGGCAGACTTGAATTTGCGTCCAGGCTCTGCTACCGAGCAGATGAATGACACTGAGCGGGTCATTTGACCGCTCTTAGCCTCCATTTCATCATCTGCAGAAAGAGGATAATAGCGGCCAGCTCACTAGCATTCACGAGGAATAAAGGTGTGAGACAGTACATGCAATGGGTCTAATAGAATGCGTAGCAATAGTATAAGCTCAATTAATATTAATATTGATATTAGAGGGGTCTTTTCCTTATGTCTGGCTTCAGAGAATCAGAGAATGTAGATACTCTCTCGGAACTGGTTCTAGGCATCTTGGGGAGAAGCTAACAGGAACTGAGACTGGCAAGGACCACTTTGGGTAATTATGATGTTAGTGTAACTAACATAGGGTGAGTGAAGGAAGGAAGATCGGTGGGGTACAGGCATTGAGAAGAGGACCGTCTCACCCGTAACTGGCTGTTTGCATCCAGGGCACTGGTAGCATCGTCCAGGATGAGTACACGTGGTTTCCGGATCAATGCTCGTGCCAAGGCCACTGCCTGTCGCTGACCTCCTGATAACTGGCTCCCAGCCTCGCCTGCCTCTGCAGAGACAAGAGCCAAGGTGACAGCTGGATAACCACATGTGGACCCAAGTGCGCACGCGCGCACACACACACACACATACACATACACACACACACCAAAGACTGCAGCCACCCAGGACAAAATATGACAGTCTCGAAATAAGGAATAATGGATACAGCTGGACAGGGAAGGTTCAGGGAAGGGGAAGGAGTTCTGAGGATGTGAGGAGGAAAGAGCCATAGGAACAAGGTCTGAAAATTTCAAACTGGTGTCAGCGGATTGGGAGGAACTGATGAATAAAAGCTATTGGGGCCAGCTGGTGTGGCTCAGTGGTTGAGTGTCGATCCATGCACCAAGAGGTGACCAGTTCGATTCCCAGTCAGGGCACATGCCCAGGTTGTGGGCCAAATTCCCAGTTGGGGGGCATGCAGGAGGCGGCCAATCAATGTTCTCTCTCATCAATGTTTCTATGTCTCCCTCTCCATTCCCCTCTCTCTCTAAAAATCAATAAAGAAAAAAAATTTTTAAGGCTATTGGGGTTTCAGTAAGGTACAGATGTCTGGGTGGTGACATGAGAGGACAGAGCACCTGTGTTGTAGCCCTGAGGGAGCTCAGAGATGAAACTATGGGCCCCAGACTCCATTGCAGCAGCTGTGATTTCCTCCGTACTTGGCTCCTGGATCAGGCCATAGGCAATATTTTCTCGGAAACTTCTTCCAAATAGCTGTGGCTCTTGTCCCACTGCAGCCACCTGGGACAAATTATAACGAAGACTCAAAATCTGAACTGATATCATATCACAGAATTACACACCCTCTCTCCTGACCACACCTCCATCTCCACCCAGGGTCTCCCATCATTCCCAACCCTTTCTTCAGAGTGTTCAGTGACAACATTCTTCTTACTTGGTGCTCCCCGCCCCCCAGACCACCTTCTTGCTCACCTGTCGGTGCAGGTAGCGGTGCTCATACTGGGGAAGGGGCTTCCCGTCCAGCAGCAGCTTCCCCCCGGCGGGCTGGTACAGATTCTGCAGCAGGGCAGCCACTGTGCTCTTCCCAGACCCATTGGGCCCCACCAGCGCTGTCACCTCACCAGGTCGCAGGGTGAACGTCAGCCCCTGGAAGCCAGAGAATCAATCACACAATAAGAGGCTGACTGAGGCCCCTAACCTTGAGACTGTCACTGTCTTGTTACATAGCATGATGCTTACCCCAGGAAAAAAATGAGAAAATGGGGACATATAGTCACTCCTACCCACCCCCACATGCAGACTTCTGTTCCTCGGGGATGATAACTCCAGGAGAGTGGAGATGGAAGATGAGGCAAAGACAGAAACACACACTTGTGCCACACACTTGATATCAGATACCACGAGCAAACAGAAAATCACATTCAAGATCACAAAGGGGAAAAAAGAGGAAAGATAGAAGGCTGGAGGCACAGATTTTCCTTTAGCTATTCCTTAGGATGTGAGTGCTTCCTCCCTGAGAGCCTCCTCTCCATTCTGCTTGGAAATCCAAACTGGTTCTTCAGTTTGGGGCAGGGTTATGGATAGAGGATGCTCATCGTTGCCTTTGAGGGGGTAGGAATGCTCTGTCTGCACCTGGTGTTAAGCAGGCTGAAGTGTGGAAGAAAATTTAGGATGGAAGAGTTGAGATCGTGGTGGGGAATGCAAGGACAGGAGGTTGTACCTGCAGCACTAGGACATCTGGACGGTTGGGGTAGGCGAAGGAGACATCTTGGAATTCAACAAGGCCCTCCAAGTTGGAAGGAGTCAACACACCACTGGCTGGGCAGCAAGGGATGCGGTCCAGGTACTCAAATATTTTATCTGAGGAGCCCACAGCCTTCTGCACACTGGGGTAGGTAGAGAGCAGTACCTGGAAGGGAGGTATAAATAGTGAGTGGGGGAGGGGCGCCTAATCTGCTTGCCAGGGTCACGTGACATGAGAAGGTACCGAATGGAAGGAGAATGCCAGGGATGGTGATGGGGCAGGGAAGGAGGGCACCGGGAGTGAATGGAAGGCTCACCTGAACAGCTGTGGTGAACTGGATCTGGTAGAGAACAAACGAGACAAGGCTCCCACTGCTCACAGCCCCGCTCGTCACCAGCTGCCCGCCAGTGTACAGGATTCCCACCTTCAGGAGCATCCCTGAGATCTGTGGGGAGACCACAGAGAAAAGGGATTGGGGGTGATCTAACGGCTGCAAAGAACCAGAATCCTTAGCACTAAGGAGCTAAAAGTCCCTTTCTCCCTAGTAACAACAAGCGGCTCAATAAGTAGAATGGAAGAATGGTCTACTCAGTTCACATGCTAGAAGTCATCACCACCACCACCACCACCACCACCACCATCACCATCACTATCACCACCACCATCACTTTCACCACCACCATCGCCACCATCACCACAACCACCATCATCACCACCATCATCATCACCACCACCATCACCACCATCACCACGACCACCATCATCACCATCACCATCAAGACCACCACCTTGTTTGGGGAGCATTTTGCTCTTCACAGAAGGTTTTCATGAATGTAATGTAATCTAATATTCATATCGAGAGCCCTAAAAACAAGGTTATATCAGGCCCATTTTTCAAAATGAGGAAACTGGCCCGGCTGGTGTGGCTCAGTGGATTGAGCATTGTCCCATGGACTGAGAGGTCCTGGTTTGATTCCTAGTCAGGGCACATGCCCAGGTTCCAGGCTCGATCCTCAGTGGGGGGGTGGGGGGGAGTGCAGGAGACAGACAATCGATGTTTCTCTCTCACATTGATGTTTCTATCTCTCTCTCCCTAAAGAATCAATAAAAACATATTATAAAAAAAATAAAGTGAGGAAACCATCTGGAAAAGGTAAGTAACTAGGTCATGGTCACAGAGCTAGTAAATGGCATCACCAAGCCAGGAACTTGAGATTGCTGGTCCAGTTCTCTGTCAAGTGCATCACAGATGCCCCCGTCCTTGGCTTCTGCTACTCTCATGGCTGTCACTAGCACATCCACACAGTGCCCGCATGACGTGGGCCCAGGCACAGGAATTTATAGCACCCCAAGCACCCCCTGATAAACAAAGGTCCTAGGACTGGAAGACATGCATCTTCCTACAAGGGGGCTTGGTAAGTTTTGTGTATCACAGTGAAAGGAAGCCATCTAGCCTAAAACACAGTAGGTCACGAACACTGAGCAGGGTGACCGAGCCTCAGGGTGCTAGGATGAGGACACTGAACCAACCACTGCCCAGTGGAGGAAGGGTGTGGAGCAGGGTCAAGGGAAAGGGAATGGAGCCAAGGCATCTTGGGGACAAGGGATGGGCATTCATCTCCAGGTGCTCACACTGGTGGTCCAGAGGTCAACTGCGTAGGCCAGGGCCTCTTTCTGGTTGAGTGTTTTCATTTCCTGCTGTTTTTGCCTGAACTTCTGGGCTTCACCCTCCTCGTTGGCAAAGCTCCGGACTGTGGGCATGGCTGACAAAACCTCAATGGCCACCTGGCTGGACTTTGCCAGAGATTCCTGTACCTGTGCTGCCAGCACCTGTGGAGACATAAACAAGAGATGTCACACGGGGTTGGCTACACATAGAGACACTAATACCTGAGTTACCTGGTTGGAGATTGAAGGTGAGAAGAGACAGAGGAACAGAGAGAAGAGAAAGCGACACAGCTCTACCCACTGGGTACTAAATAGATCCAGAGGAGAAGAAAATGACTCGGGAGGGTAATAGGGGGTCATGTTCTTGAGATTGGTGAGCATATTCTTAAAGACAGATTGTGGGCAGAAGTAGAAGAGAAGACACAGAGAATATGAAGATCAGCACTCCCACTGAGTCTGGGCACATGGACAGGGACACGGAGTCCACAAAGATGGAGAATCACTGAGGTGTCAGGAAGGAATCAGGAGGAACTGAGTCCACCAAGGTGGGAGATGAGGGTCTGTGTAGGTTGAGGCAACACCCTGGACATACCTTGTACCGTTTGCCCAGCTTCTTAGGCAGAAGGAACAGCAGAGGCAAGGCCACCAGGGTGACCAAGGTGAGAGACAGTGACCCCCAGAGCATGAGCCCCAAGAGACACAGCCCCCGCACAAGGTACCACAGCAAAAGGTTCAGCTTCTCACTCAGAGACTCACTCAGGGTGGACGTGTCCTCTGTTACCCGAGATGTGATGGCACCTGCCAGAGGTTGGGGAAGAGAAAGTGGAGTGAATGAGGGTCTCAGAGGGATGGGAGGGATGAGCAGTGGGCCAGGGTGCCAGAGGGAGGGGGTCAGCATGGTGTTCTAAGGGTGCTGGGGAAATAGGGGAGGGAGGTAGGGAAGTTCTGGGATCTCAATGCAGGGAGACTGTTAAAGTAGAAGTCTGGCCAGAAGCCTTCGTTTTAACTATAAAGAAACTGACACTCATGTAAACTCCCACTTTGCTGGCGGATTTCTGTTCCCTAAAGAACTCCTGTACCGCATGCTGCACACATGGCAGGGACAGCGTAAGCTGGCCGTGTGACAGTGCTGCAGGAGAAGCAGGGTCCTGCTCGACAGGTCCAGGAGACTGGGATGGCGACGGCCTCTAGAAGGTGACCGGAGTAGACTCCATGGCTCTCTGCAGTTCAGTCTTCCTTTGTACTCAGTGAGCCTCCTGCTGTTACTGGGGGACAGGGGCTTTACATGCCAAGGATTCTGGCTCCCGGCACCCCTGTTACATTTCTACCAAGCACGGATGGGTCTGTCCCCAAGTTCATCACTGTCCATATGTGACCCTGCACAGTTCAGCATTTAGGGTCTGGGCCACAGTTTCTTTCTTTATAAGATTAGGCACTTGGACTCTGCAATCTCAAAATTTCCAGGTTTGCAATTCTATCTAAATACACACATAGGGATAAATTTCTAAAAACCTTGGGCAGAAAACTCAGTTTTTCTGAAGGTAGAGTGCAACATTTTGCTCTGGAGGTACCCACCCCAAGAAGAAGAAATGACGATGTCTATGTGTATCAGAGAGAGATCAAGGGTATAAGTAAAATGGGTACATATGGCGATATAACTGGCATAAGGGTGTATAATGAAGGAGTTTCATGAGAAACCTGTTTGGTTCTGTTGGAAAAACTCTGTCTCCTGGCGCAGGACAGCCTGAAACACGTGGGCCTGCAAGCGGCTGTGCACGCGGCCCATGGTGCCGTTGTAGACCCCGTCACCCACGAACTCCAGCACCGCACTGGAGAGAGACGGAGGGTGTGTTCAGGGGCCAGAGAGAAGGTCCCTGCAGGAGTGCACCTTGGCCAGCAGCCCCAATTTCCAGCCTCCCCTTTCTTAGGGCCCCCAGACCTGGCTATGGTGAGAACGGACATGAGAGTTATGTTCCGGGTGAAGGCTGTGGCTGTTCCATCTTGTAGAATCCAGTCAGTGAGGCGGCCAGTGAAGAAGGGAATGGCCATCTCACCTGGGGAGGGAGAGTAGAGAGGTGTCAGTCACACAATCAAGTCTTTGCAGGTCAGCCTGGACCAGCCGCCCCAGGGCAGCCCTCTCCCACCCCTCACCAACACCCTGGCGGCAGCGCAGAGACCGCACAGCCCTGCCGAACAGGCCGCCCCGACTCCCAGCCCTGTGCCCCGCCAGACACTTAGGGGTTGAATTAGGAAGGAAGCCTAGAGATCCTGGAGTAAGATGCCGGTATAAGACGCTGCCTCGGAGAAAGACCCTGCCGTGGGGCCCGGGAAGCAGTGCCTGGGGCAGCACTGGAGTCCCGACTCCGACTCCCACCCAGTCCAGGCTTGGTCTCAAGACCGGGCCTGGGTCGCCTTCCCCTGATCCACATTTCCCAGAGCTCACTGACCATGCCTTTTGATTCCTGCCCGGTCCCCTAGTGTCCGTCCCTTTTCCCAGAACCCCTTACCAAGACAGGAGAGGATCAACAGGCCCAAAACGAGCGGGAGCCGGCGTATCTCTGAGCCCAGGCAGCCTAGAAGCCGACGCACGGGGTCTCCAGAATCTCCGTGACCTCCGTGCACCCAAAGGCTCCGGAGCTTGTGCCACAGGGTGGCTGCGGGCAGTGCCGCCGCGTAGCTAAGGACAAAGGCGTCGAGGCGACCCCCCCAGTGCAGTAGTCTGGTGCTGTCAGCGTCCCTGGGGACGCCCCACGAGCCCAGTTCTCGGAAAGAGGCAAGTCCCGGCAGAGCTAAGCCCAGCGCCGCCGCCAGTGGCTCCAAAGCAGCCATCCATCCCTGGACTCCTCCGCTTTCACTCTTGGTGCCAACTGTTGCCCTGAGAACCCCACGGGCCCCCAGCCACAGCCCAGCCCAGCGGCCCAGGCCCACCACCCAGACCCGGAGCAGCGGCAGCGCAGCGGGCACCAGCAGGGACGCTATTCGGGGCAGCACCGCCCGGAGCAGCACCCAGTCGGCCAGAAGCAGCAGCGTTGTCCCCAGCCACGCTAGGGAAGCTGGGGAGCGGCAGAGGCACCCGCAGGGAGCGGGGGACCCTGAGCTGGCCATTGGCGCGCGGGGGTAGCGCCCCGGCCAGGACTCTCCGCCGTCCTGGCTGCGGGGGCTCTGGGTGGCGTCCCGGCGTGCGCCCAGGTCCAAGGACCGCGGCGGGGAGGCAGGAGGGACGCAGCGGGGAGGCAGGAGGGACCGGCCGGGGCGGGGCGGAAAGTCCCAGAACCGGCTGAGCCGGGTGGCGCTGGCTGGAAGCGGAAGGTTTAGGGGAAAGAGAAAACGAAAGCGCCGCGGCTCAGTAGACCCGCCCACTTCCCAACGCCGCCCAGACTGCTTGCGGGGAGGGCGTGGAGATCAGATCCCAGGTTCTGGGGTGCAGACTTCGTGCTCCGCCTTCTCAGTCATGCACAACGGCCCTCCTCCTTCCCTTGCCTCCTCTTGCGGGATCCATTTGTCGAGACTTCCCTGCCCCAGCCTCAGGGCGGGACTCTTTGGTCACCTGTCTCCGGGCAGATCTGCCCCACACAGGTTAGCCCGGGGTGCGAGGCCTGGGGAGAGGACACTGGCGCCCTCTGGCGGGCGTGGCGAAGGGGCGGGGCTGTAGGCTGCGCGCAGAGCGCAGCACGCTGTCCCAAGTCGCAATTCCGTGCCCCAGGCAGCGAGAAGCACTGCGCGGTGATGCTGCGGGCGGGACCGCCAACCGGGGACTTACCCCGGGCCGGAGAAGTCCACACTGGGGTAATGAGTCTGGGCTTGAGGGTTAGCAGAAGGGTGGAGGTAGTGGAGCGCCTGGGGGCTCTGGAAGCACCAGGGAGTGAATGTGGAGACCAACAAGAGTGAGGAGTAGCTTGTAGTCCCCAGTGCCCGTACCCGCAGTGAATACCTAGCGTTTCCGTTCTGACCGGGTCATTTAGGGGGCCGTGGAGGGACTGCGCCCGGGAGGCCGATGGAGAAGGGGGTGCTTTGGCTCTTTGCTGGAAGCGTCAAGGGGAAGCTGCTCTAAAGCGCTTTCGCTTTCACTCTAGACTAGAGAGGGGGGCTGGTTAAATCAAGGGAGGGGGTTGGAGAAGGTGCAAAGAGTTAAGGAAATGGTGCCCTGGTGAAACAGGACAGCATTTGGAAGAGAGGAATATGGCACCGCCTGAGAAGGGCCAACTCATCACTCAGACCTCTGATAAACTGGCACCTGGGTAATCATGGCCCCAGCACTGATAACGGGGTTCCATGTGAGCCGGGGTTGCCCTTCCCCAACTTGGCTCAGGAGGGCTTCCGCTTGGCGGGGTACAGCCCGGGTGCAGCCGAGCTCTCTGCCCTGCCCACTCCCACTCACACGTACCGGGGGACTTTGACCCGGGGGTGGGGGATGGCAGCCCAAGACTGACTGGCACTCTTAGCTTGAGGGCACTGTGTGGCAGAGGAGTAACTTTGAGCATGTGCTTGCCCTCTATTCGCGGTCAGTCAGTATCCAGAAAGCCTCCTCAGGCAGTATCCCCGGGGCCAGAGTGGTGAGAAAGAGCAGCCAAAACCACTAATAAGTTAGAAAATCTCACCTCACTGCTACAGGAGCTGCAGAAAGTAGGAAGTAGAAGCCAAACAGGGGGTGGCATTTAGACCCGGATTTTAGTCCCAGGTCTGCGAATGCGTAACCTTGGACAAGTCACTTACCTTCTCTATGACTCGGTTTCTCATTTGAATCAGGGATCTTTAAGACTTTTTCATACTCAACAGAAGTAGAAAAATTGTAGCTTTATCCTCCTTCACTTCTTTCATTTATTTTCTTGACCTGGAAACGTCCTCTCGGGCTCTCCAATCAAATCCTCTCGGTACAGATCTTTTCCCCTGACTCCTGAGATATCCATTCACCTCTCGATCACAAATCCTGAAATGAAATGTTTATTTTAAACTGCCTCGTGTTCCCTGCCGCTTTCCTCCTTCTTTGAAATATGGCCCTGCTGACCACGGTCCCCCTCGGTATTTTCCTGTGTTCAGGAACGGAGCGTTTGCTTCTGATTAAGGGGATGTTAGATGGAGGATTCTGGGCCCAAAAAAGACCCGAGCTTGTTTCTCAAGGTCATGGTAACCTGCTCTGCCAGGTCTGTACCACACCTGCACACACAGCACGTGATGGAGATTGCAATTCACGCGTGGGGCTGGCCCACTGGTGCTTGGAAGGGCCTGCTGAGCCAAACTTCTGCCTCTGGGAGCCTCAGGGAAAGGGTTCCACCCAGCAGGCCGGGGCTCCCGCTGCAGTTCCTCCCGGTTGATCCGCGGCCAGGCCGCCAGGAGAGACAATAGAGAGAATGGGAAGATGGAGAAAAGCCCTATACTGGGACTCAGCTCCGGACTGAATTACTGTATGACCTTGAGCCAGTCCCCTCCTCTCTCTGGGAATGTTTCCGCCTCTGACATGAAGGGATAAAGGCTCCATTTGCTCTGACATTCCCTCCTCTGTCTCTGCAGACAACCATCATGGCCGTGGAGTTTGATGGGGGTGTGGTGGTGGGTTCTGATTCCCGGGTGTCCGCGGGGTAAGTACCAGCGAAGCATATACTTTGGAAGAAAGCTAATGGCCTCATATATGTGTTGTCTTCCCCATTCATGAAGAGCCTGGTGAACCGGAGCTTTGGAGAAACGGAGTCAGCCTTTCGGAAAGATCACTATTATAAGATGTTGGGTGGGTGCTTGGTTTCCGAACTCATGAAGGAGGACCAGGGCTTGAATGCTACGTGCTGTCCCTGGAAGGGACAGGGTCTGAGAAGGGGTAGGGATAGAGCTGGGGGCGCCCTCCTTCCATGTGCATTTAGAGATAGAAAAGATGGGTCTGGCAAGCAGGTGTCTTGGTTTCTCATCTATAGCATGTTGAACTAATTTTGTCTTTCTCCCTCCTGGCCAGTTTCCTCACATGTAAAATGAATATATGGGATTAGATCGATATTACTTATGTTCCATAGAACACATAACTTCCTCCAGATGGTTAATAGCAAAGAAAAATTGATGAATAACATCATCTTTAGCTTACTTTATATTTTACTATAAAATCTAAGCCCGAAAATAAGTCAAATTTTGATCACTGGCAGTGTTTCATTTAGTTGAGATGGTTTTTGCTTCCTGTTTTAATCCAAGCATTAGATTTTGTGTTCTCTGTGGCTGTTCTCTTGTCAAATAAGTTTGAGACACACTGGATGATTAACCTCAAAAAGTGCTGCAACTCTAACGCTGATGACTACTGACTCCTGCCCTACAGCGAGGCTGTGGTGAACCGGGTGTTCGACAAGCTGTCGCCCTTACACCACCGCATCTACTGCGCTCTCTCCGGTTCGGCTGCTGACGCCCAGGCCGTGGCTGACATGGCTGCCTACCAGCTGGAGCTCCATGGGTAGGAAGCTTTGGGGTCCTCACACTACAACCAGTGAACCCCCATACAGTGCCCTGTTCCTGGAGCACTGCAGCAGAACACGAAAAATTCTGGTTTTAACTCCTGCTTTTATTAGCTTTTACCTGTACTCGAATCTGTCTAAGCTGGTCTCCACATCTGTAAAGTGGAGATAACAGTTCCTGCCCTACCTCACCACGTGGTTACTTTGAGAATCAAATGATATATGTGAAAGCAGTTTGAACACTGTAAATCACTATCCTAATATAAATAATGAGGAAGAAAATGATGATGGGGCACACATATCAAGTCACCTTTATAGGAAACCAAGGTCACTGGCGGGGGTACTGCAGCCCCGAGCGCTGCATCACTGAGAAGTGGCGGGCGGAGAGTAAAGGAGAGCAGGTTAAATTCCTCTTCCCCTTGGTGGTGTGAGGCTGGGGCCCCTGCACACGTGGGAGGGGGCTGGAGTTTGACCACTGTAGCTCTAGGTTCCAGGTGTCACCTGGCAGGGACGATGGTAACGGCACACGAGAGTGGAACTTTAGGAGATTATATTGATCCCTCTTCCTAACATTTCATTCAGGATGGAACTGGAAGGACCTCCACTGGTTGTGGCTGCTGCAAACGTGGTAAGAAATATTAGCTATAAATACCGGGAGGAGCTGTCTGCACATCTCATGGTAGCCGGCTGGGACCAACGAGAAGGGGGCCAGGTGAGTCTCTCCCAACGCTCTCCCTCCCGTGGGGTCCCCCAGTGGTCCAGTCCTTCTAGCAGTGAGTTCCAGAGACACTGCCTCTAAAGCAGAGGACAGTCTGCCCCGATGGGGATAGGAGGTACTGGGGCCTCACCGCAGCGCCCGGGGACCACCTGCTTGCTCAGTGGCCAGCAGGGGACCGAGGCTTCTTTAGTCTGACCTGAGGATGCCTCCCCCAGGTGTATGTAACCATGGGGGGCATGCTGACTCGACAGCCCTTCTCCATCGGGGGCTCTGGCAGCACCTACATCTACGGTTATGTGGACGCCGCGTATAAACCAGGCATGTCCCCGGAGGAGTGCAGGCGCTTCACCACAGAGGGTAATGAGCCGAGTGGAAGGGAACCGGGAGGATTCTTAACATGGGAAGGATGTGGACTAGGAGGGACAGGGAGCGGAATACAGGGGCAACCTTAATTTAATGTCCAAACTGGGACACTTTTGAGAGTGAAAGGGGCCAGGACAAATGCTAAGTTAGATGGGACTTCAGGATAAAAGGCATAAACCAACACTGTTCTGAGTACAGCAAGTAAAAAATGCGGTTACCGTGATAACCAGTGGTGCACTAGAGCTGGCTGGGGCTAGCTCATGAGAGCCAGTTGTTAAATATTCAGGATTTGGGAGCATCTGATTAAGCTACTTATGATTAGAAATGAATCATGGTAGGAGTATTGAAACCATGGACATTAGGAGGTGTTCATATAAAGGTGTTTTGTTTTTTTACCTTTTAAATTGGTAAAAAGTTATTAGCACACCACTAACTATGCCTCTCTGAGAGACGGGTTTTGAGGCGGGAAGGTGGACTGGGACAGGAGGGGCAGAGAATGATTTCTGAAGGTAAGCCATCCTCTCCCCGTTTCTCTTCACCTTGACCTCTGCAGCTATCGCTCTGGCCATGAGCCGGGACGGCTCCAGTGGGGGCGTCATCTACCTGGTCACCATTACAGCTGCCGGTGTGGACCATCGCGTGATCTTGGGCAATGAGCTGCCAAAATTCTATGATGAGTGAATCTTCCTCAGACATCCCTCCTCATTTTGTAATAAATTCTCTGAGACCAGACTCGGCATGGTCAATGGGGAATGGGTGCTGCGAGAGACGGAGCTTAGGGGGGGGTCCCCTTCTCTCTTCCCTCCCCGGTGTCAGCATACCTTTTTAGTTCTTTCACCCCAAGGTCTAAAACATCTTTCCCAGGGGAAGGAGGGTGGGGAGTATACTAGAAAAGCCCTCTACATGACAGGTCATTATGTACTGGGATTTTGAAATATTAGGAACAATAAAAATTCATTCTGATGCCCCAGAGATGAAGGTGGAAGCTGGGGAGTTGGGACTGATCCCCTTAAGGCAAAGAACAGTGATTTTCACCCAGTATGAGACAGCACAGCATCTACTTCGGGGCACGCACCTCTTTTCCCTTAGACTGTCAAATTTTAGAAAATGACAACAGCCCACACAGCAATAGCTGTCCAGTGTGAATGAATCAAAATTATACCTGTTATTTTGTCAGATTGGAAGAAATAGAATATGTGTTTGGTGTGCAGCAGGATTTTAGCAGTTAATGTATGCCAGGAGAAGACAAAGGTTGAAAACTGCTGGCTGAGACTGATAGGCAGATAAGATAGTGACACACAGAGTTTGAAGAGCACCAGAAACCTCATCCGTGAAAGAATTCTTTTCATAGGGCATTCATTTACACTAGCGGTCAATACATGATAAATGCTTAATTTTTTTTAAAAAAAGCATTTCAAAGGAGTCACTTGTGAATTTCAAATAATAATAACAACCGAAAAAAGCTACATTTATTAAACTAGGCATTTGCTAAAGGTTTATAAACTTTATCTCTTAGAACCCAAACAAACAAACAGAAAAACAACTGTATAGTATCAACCAGTGGTGGAGGGTCCTTGGCACCAATTCAGCATCAGTAGGAATTCCCAATTTGGGATGCAGTGAAGAAGGAAACTTTATGCAGTGCAAACAGCTTAATGGTGGAACAGCAGAGCTGTGGAGCCGCTCAATTGTGATACAGCACGCGTGAGGCTGCCCTGAGGCCAGGCCCTCTTCTCTAGGCAGTGCGCCTCAGCCCAGCCAGCTCTAGTCTGCCCTGGTCTGGCCCACTGCACTCTGCACCAGTATACTCTGGGGAAAGAGTCCTCAGTCTTCAGTGAAAGGGGGAGCTGGCTTACATGGGCAGAGGTTGTGGCCCTGGTTCCTGATTGGTCTGTTCTTATGCAAATGAGGATTCCAAATCCTCAACATTTGATTGGTCCAAAAGACACTGTCCTGGTTGGACAGAATAGAGCCACTCTGATTGGTCAGAGCTGCACAACTCTGAGTGGATGGGGAAAATCCTCAGTCCTGTTGGTTGAAATAGGATTCTGGAACTCCTTTATAAGGGCTGGTTTAGATGGCAGAAACCAGTGCAGGCTCCTCAGTGAAGTGCAGAGACTCCTGTGCAGAAATGGCTGCAAGGCATTAATTTTTTTTTTTTTTTAATTTGACCGCAGTTAGCCCTTTTTAGTAGGTGTCTTTTTTCTCAGGGGTCACAACAGGTTCTACTACTACTTTTGTCTAAGGACAGATGGAGGCTTAGAAAGAGTAAGTCACTTGACCAAAGTCACAGCAAGTTCAAAAGCTGAAATCTGGGACTAAGTTTTACCATATGCCCTTCTTCTACCACTACATCAAGCTTTCCTGAAGCTTCATATATCATCTCCTCCTTGAAATCTGCGATAGTCAAGCACTTTAGTTGCCACTTAGGAACCTGTTACTAGATGCCTAAGTAACTGTGTTAAACAAGCTGAGTTCTGGCCCTATCTTTGCCATGTGCTTCCTGAGTAACAGCACAAATTATTCCCCGCTGGGAATAATTTCCTTTTCTGTCAAATGAAGGTGTTGAGTGACTTCCACGGGGGTTTACAGCTTTGGCATTTAATGCCCGTTTGCTAATAGGGGAGCAGGGAAGAGCTACATTAACAGAAACCCTAGGCTCCCAGGACGCGGCTGTCTGCTTTCCTTTCTGGACCTCGGCTAAACATACAAATTCAAACTACCTTAAAAAGTCCTTTGCCCTTGGGGGGGAGGATCTAAAGTTTCCAGAGCCTTGAGTTCTTTCTAGCCATAATATTTCATTTATTTTGAAGTTTAAAATGATAGTTGAAGAGCCTACCTCGCCTATTGATCACCACTAGGAACTGGAGAGTAGACTACAAGCAAGGACTAAAGGCCTCTGAACAAGAAATGAGTCAAAACTTGAAGCGGCAACACTCCCGGGGTGGCTTTCGATTGCTTTTCCTCTTTCCTCTCATGACTCTGCTCCGAAGTCAGGCCTCGGTGAGAGCTGCAGTGCAGAGCCAGGAGACACCCCAAATTCCGGCCAGAGGAACCCGGCAAAGGGACCCCTGCGGCGGGAGAGTGCAGGGGCCTGGCAGATGGAGCTGGAGAAGGGGCGCCCTCCCAGGCTGAGCTCAGGGCCCTGGCGGCCCCGGAGCTGCACAGCCTGCCCCTGCCTGAAACAGCACAGCGAGGAGGGAAGCCCTTTAAAATTAGAAAGCTGTCTTTGTCCTATCAGCCAAAAAGTATCCCCTTGTGCCTCTTATTCCAAAAAGGGCTTATAGCAGCTCACGGGGACAGACTCAATTTAAAAAGAAGAAAGAGGACTTCCGGTCAAGATGGCAGTGAAGGTGAACATGGTGTCGCCTCCTCCCACAACCACACCAAAATGACAACTAAACTACAGAACAAGCATCCTTCAGAACCACCTGACATCGAGCTGAATGGCAGTCCTACAACTACGAGATTAAAGAAGCCACATGGAGACTGGGAGGAGGGCGGAGGGCACAGGCTGCTCCCACACCCACGTGTGGCGGATAAAAATCAGGAGGACACCTCGGCTGGGAAGGTCCTCCCTGAGGACTGAGGGGTCCCCGTCCCACACCAGGAGCCCCGCTCAGGGTTCCAGGGCCAGCAAGAGAGTCCCCATCACTTCTGGCTGGAAAAACCAGCGGGAACTGAGGCTGAGGGAGGCTGAGGCTTCTGGAGCCCCAGGTAGCTCCTCTTAAAGGGCCCGCGCACGGACTTACTTGGCCTTGCACCCTCCAGGCTCCAGCATGGGGAAGGCAACTTGAAAAGCACCAGAGACATACAGGGAAGAACTGAGCTGTTTGGCATTGGGGTGAGCGCTGGAGATGCAGCTCTCTCCTGGACAGATGTGCTGGTGGAGGCCCTTGTTCCTTTGGTGAGCCCTCCCCCATGAGACTGGCAGATAGCTGCCTTATCTGGGACTCCAGCTACCTGGCTCACACTGTTTGCCCCCCCACACCCCTTAATTCCCTGAGGCCCTGTCCCAACTAAAGTTGGGACCCACCAAAGCTGTTCCCAGTGGCTTTAACATAGGATTGGCCTATTTTGGCTCCTACTTCAGATTTTCCTAAATTCTCCGAAACAAGCAGCATCTGGTCACAGCAAGCCCCATACCTTTGCTAAGTGGCCCCGGGCCTGGCACTAGAAGCAGCCAACCTTGGTTCACAGCTTGGCTCTGCTTGGGCACCTCCAAGCCCAGCACAAGAAGCAGCCATTGGCAGATCCTTTGTAGCTTATGCCTGGTGGCCCCGGGTAGAACACAGGCAGAGGCTGACCTTGCCCCAGAGCCAGCACACCCAGTGGACAGCTTCAGACCATGTCAAAGCACTACCACCCAACCTCCTCCACAAGTGACACACTCCAGGAGTGGACACAGGGGGTACCAGAACCCTGTTGAGTAAGTCTTGCTCTGTGTGTGTGCTCTGCACAGCTGATCCTCCAAGGTAGTCAGAGGTCGGTGATCAGTGAGCACAGCCAGTCCTTGCAGTGGACCAGCCTGAGTAAAACCCTCCCGTTGACAGGCCAACAGCAATCAAGATTCAATTATAACTAAAGGGTATAAAGTCCACACGAGGGGTGCACCTCGAGGGCCCAGCTGGTTGATTAGGGAGGCTGTGCCACTTGACCCTACAGGACACCTACTATAACAGGCCACCCTAGGAGGCCTAGGAGACATAGCAACTCTACCTAATACATAGAAACAAACACAGAGGCAGCCAAAATGAGTAGACAAAGAAAAATGTCCCAAATGAAAGAAGACAACTAAACTCCAGGAAAATAACTAAATGAAATGGAGATAAGCAATCTAACAGATGCAGAGTTCAAAATACTGTTTATAAGGATGCCTGATGAACTTAGTGAGGGCCTCAAGAGCATAATAAAGGACCAGTCAGAAATGAAGGATGCACTGAAATAAAGAATAATTTAAAGGTAATCAATAGTAGAGTAGGTGAAGTCAAGAAGCAAACCGTCAATTTGGAATATAAGGAAGCAAAAAACACCCAATCAGAACAACAAAAAGAAAACAGAATCCGAAAAAATGAGGATAGTAATAAGGAGCCTCTAGGACAACTTCAAGAGAACCAACATTCGCATCATGGGAGTGCCAGAGGAAAAGAGAGAGGGAAAGAAATTAAAAACCTATTTGAAAAAATAATGACAGAAAACTTTCCTAACTTGGTAAAGGAAACAGACATACAAGTCCAGGAAGCACAGAGAGTCCCAAACAAGATGAACCCAAAGAGGCCCACACGAAGACACATCATAATCAAAATGGGAAAGGTTAAAGACAAAGAGAGAATTTTAAAAGCAGCAAGAGAAAAACAGTTAGTTACCTACAAGGAAATCCCATAAGGCTGTTAACTGATTTCTCGAAAGAAACCTTGCAGGCCAGAAGGGAGTGGCAAGAAATATTCAAAGTGATGAAAAGCAAGAACCTACAACCAGATGTCCGAGGGAGGGGCCACTGTCTCTCCCCAGAGCCCTGGGAAGGATCAAGATGGCCACCATCCTGCGTGGCTGGAACTCAGCAAAAGCTCTGAGCCCCCTCCAAATCCCAAGTGTCCTCACACAGTTCCAGTCCAGTCTTCCCTCCCTCTGCCAGAGCCCAAAGAGTATGAAGGTGAGCAAGAGCCAGGTCCCTGCCCACATGTGAACTGGGGAAGTAGGAGATACAGACCAGCACTGCAACT